CGAGTAGCTGGGATTACAGGCACGCGCCATCACGCCTGGCTAATTTTTTTGTATTTTTAGTGGAGATGGGGTTTTGCCGTGCTGGCCAGGCTGGTCTGAAACTCCTGGTCTCAAGTGTTCTCCCCACCTCGGCATCCCAATGTGCTGGGATTACAGGTGTGAGCCACTGTGCTCGGCCCCTTTACATTTATTTTGATTAAGTTCCTTATTTTTATACTATTGCAATTGGAAACTTTTTCCTTTTTTTTGGAAAGTTTGTTGTTACTATATGGAAATGCAACAGACATTTGTTTGTAGGGTCAGGTGCAGTGCTTCATTTCTGTAATCCCTGCACACTTTCAGAGGTTAGAGGCCAAGGAAGGTGGATCACTTGAGCACAGGAGTTTGAGATAAGCCCGGGCAACAGAGTGAGACCCTATCTCAAACAAACAAAAAAAACCCCACAAGTATTTTTATGTTGATTATGTATCCTGATACCTTAATGAATGCATTTATTAGTTCAGTTTTTGTTGTTTTACTCTAGGGTTTTTTATATATGCATGATCATATTATCTACAAACAGTAACGTTTTTACTTTTATTCCAAGCTGGAAAGCTTTATTATTTTCCTTGTCTAATTGTTCTGATACAAAACTTTCGGTAATATGTTAAGGTACAAGCTGTGGCCCTGGAGGCATGCTTGCAGATCTTGGTCTCAGCTTTGGTCCCTGAAACAGCCCCGTGTCTGTACATTTGAAGGATCTAACAACTCTTATAGTTTCTATAAACTGTCTTTGGCAAGTAAAGATCTCCTTTTATTGGGTCCCCAGGCTGATGAGATTATCTCTGGGGTTGCTAAGAAGAAAGGTCGTAGCTGGGTCACGAGGGTGCTGCTGAGTCTGTTGTTTGAATGGCATATAGCAGCATTGTTTCATTTAAAGATGCAGTTTTCAAGAACCTATTTTGAACATTAAGTGAAGACCTACCATACATCCATTTTGAGTGATATGGGGTCTGCCTTTGATGGTTGTATTACCAGAGATTTGGACAGTCATGGATTCTTTCTGGGCCATGGAAAGATTAAATATCCTTGAGGACATTAATCTATATGGCAGGCAGTAGGGTAGGGTTTTGAAGTTTGTCTGCATATGATGGGCGAAATGCCATGTGTATGAATGGGATTGGCTTCTACTGACTACCTGGGAAAAGTTTTCACAAGTCTCTCTGTGGGTCTGGGTGTGTACAACTGGCCATGGACTGTGACTGTGAGCGCTAGAACTGAGTCACAGGGCTGCTTCAGGG